TGATTAGTTCTTCACAACAGTAATTCTGTACCCTCACAATTATTACTGTGACATTTGACAGACCTGCTCCTAAACTCAAGGAAACACTCCTGCTCCCAAACTGTACACACAGTCCTCAGAGGCATCTCCTTACAGACCCTGACTAGCCCATACTGTTTCGCTGCCCTGACTGCAGGCCAGTTGTACAAGCTTCCTCCAGCAGAAAGACTCACGTGGGACAAGATTAGTGCCTAAGAGCTCAAGTGCCCTCCAGAAGCTGAAAACAAGGGAACGTGGAAGCATCCAAGCACCTGCTCAGTGGTATTTCACAGTTGGGGAACCCTTCTGGGACAGTCTTTTGGAACAATCTTATGGAACCATCTAGACATGGCTGTTAATTCCAAACTATTTTAATCCCATCATCTACCAAGTGCAACACATTATTTTCTGTCACAATAGAAGCAAGCAAAATAAGTTGACTTCTCCTCTCCATGACAAATTAAACTTTTCGTAGACAAAATTATGTACAGTCCTGATGTTGACTGAACAGTAACAATGGAAAAAAAGAGAAAGAGTGAAAGAAATACACTTAAGGTGATTTTATTCAGGCAAGAGAGGACCTCCTGCTTAACATTCACAACCCATCAAAAATTCTTCAAGAAAATCATATGGACCTGCATATACAGCACATGCTCATTCTTGCTCTTCGTTACGGAAAAAATAATGGAAGTATCCTGGCTTCAGGACGGACTGGTTTAATTCTTTTTCAGCACTCAATTCTGCCTTTCGTTTTCCTACTGTCTGTGTGAAATTCTATGGAAAGGCATTGTTGTTAAACAGCAGTGAGTGTTATTCTCACAGCAGTGTACACTAATAATAATTCAGCATGGTGTCACGAAAGGCTGTGAGCTCTTAGCTGAATTTATTTGAAAAATAAAGTTTGTTTTTTTTCTTGGAGATCTTTACTTAAGTCAGCATGGAACTCTTGTAAAAGAGAACTACCAATAAGTCACAACTACCAAGGAACAGCCTTTTTATTTTATTTTGTTATTCCTTGCTCACCATGACAACATAATAAATGAGCCCTGAGAGACTAGAAGTTCATAACTATTTAAAATTTTATATTTTATCTTTCATTGTATGTTTCCAGCCACAATATTCATTATCTATTTTTTAAAACCCTTTTCAGTGTCTCCAAGTGAAATACTCCGATTTTCAACTGCACTATACAATAACCAGAAATACATCTTTAGCTGTGATTCTGGATAAAAGTTTACAAAACCAGTCTTATTGTATTTTTGTGATCCATCAATAATTAGTTGCTCCTGTAAAAGCAAAGCAACAAGCCAACAGTTTCAACATCTGCTTTTTCAATTTTTGTTTCGAGTTCTGCTGGATGTTTCTGTACTGTTTCATACATGACTAATAGGAAAGATACAAGACTAATAGGAAACATAGCTGCAACTTCACTTATGGTTGGTTTCAGTTAACAGATGGTCTTTAAACTATCTAACATAAAATAATACATTTTAGAAAAACTGCCTCCAAAACTGCTTCATAAAATAAAGTATTTAAATTCCCCCCCCCCCCCCCCCCCAAAGCTTTGGGATCTTTCAAGATACCACACTAGAGGAGGCCCCAGGATTTTAAATTAATAAATAAATAAATAAATAAATAAATAAATAAAACTTAATTTCTGACCTTAAATCTCAGAGGCTAAAGGTTTTGCAATGTAAGTATCATCAGAAGTAGCATATACAGCTATGCAAGAAGGTGGGCCTCCTAGACTACATCTTTTCTTGCTAAATTTAAAGTGCCAGCATAAAACCACAGCAGAGGTCTGCAAAGTCCCTGTGCTACAGGTGACTGCCACAACAGGTCAGCCAAACCTTTAGTTTCAGTAAGCTAGGACAGCAGTCATAGTGGGGTCTTCTGGCTGCTTCCTTCTGCACCTGAACTAGGGTGATAATAGAACAAGTCCTGCTTTCAAACTCTTTAATGTAGCATACAGTGAACAAAAATTGGTTGTCCCACACACCTCTGGTACAGTTGAAGAGCATTTACCCAAGATCAATAAATAGGTTTGGCAAGACCTGTGTTCCACATTTCTTATTCTGACAATTTTTGCCCTGTTCTAACACTTGCCTACAAACCTGCTACTGACCACAGTCAAAGAAAATGTAGCAGACCTCTGGTCCTTTCATTCAGTGTGGTTTGTTCATAAAACACCACGTTCAAGAGCTATGTGATCACTTTCCCACGAGTGCAATCTGTTTACAGAACAGTTTTTCTTAAAAGACTGTCTATAAGAGAAACCAAGAATAAAACCAAAGAAGCAACTATTATCCAAAATGCCTTCCAAGCGCATCCACCACCATTTGCGTAACTTGGGGACAATCAGGTACTACTGCAGCACTGCTGTAGTTATATGGGTATGAAAAGTGTGGCACTGATTTAAATATGAACAAGCTTTAATGCCTCTGACCTTTTCCAGACTCACTCTTCCATGTGTTATGACAGCAGCCCAACTGAAGCCAAAACATCAGGAGCAACTTCACACAGTTTCACGTTTACAATTAAAGATCATTCTATCCAAAACTGTATTGGAATGTACCTTTTGCAAGTCTGTTCTCCTGCTTCTGTTCGAAGGTGTTTGTGCAGGAGCACTAGATAGCGGAGTGCGACTGGGCTTCCCAGAACTTTCAGCAGCTGACCAGGGAAAGTAGCAACATGTCTCTTTCCCAGGAAGAGACTGCAGGTGGCTGCATTTTTATATGGAAAAAACAGCATTCACTTTATTTAATACTCAGTTTATGGTCAGATTCCGAGCCCCTTGCTCACCTGCAAGGATACTTACTCTTACAATTGGTTCCTCCCACAGAGCTACATCTGTTAATGAAGTGCCCACACAAGCCATCAATATTTTGGTCTAGACAAGAAGCTAAACTTTTTACCCAGTAACATTAAAGAACTGCATTCACAAAGTCCCTCCAATACAAGTTTAGAAACAGATGAAGAAACTGAAGCTTGCAAAATAGCACTACACACTATGAACATGGTTCTTTATTTTAAATAGAGTATTTTTAATGCTTCCTAACCACAATTCTTTAGGCTTTGCAAAGAGGTATATAATCATTTTAAAAACAAAATAAAAACAAAAAAACCCAAAACAAAACAAAAATTTAAAAAATATATTAAAAAATGTTATTAAAAGTGTTATTAAAAATTCATACAAGAATTATCACTGGAGAAAAAGCTAGCAAATAAGAAAAAGTTGAAAGTAAGTTTCTTTCTTTCAGATAGTCTGCTTTTTTCCAGATGCATCATCAGTATCTGCATGCTAGCAATTTTGCATTATTTATGAATGTATTAGAGGAACATGGCCAAACTACAAGCCAAGAAGTCCAACACACACATTTTTAAAAACAGGGAATGTGTCTTGGTTATAGAACAAAAGAACTCATTTTATCACTTGGCTTTACTGCTTGAGAAAATGGCTCCTGGTGTGCTGAACTCCATGATAAATGTGCCCCCTCTAGATCTTTATTGCCCTTGTAAATCAAAGGACTGACAGCAGTTAATAAGAAAGCTTTTGAGTGGTTTTGAAGTTTTGCTTTGCACAAATAAAATCTCATTTTAAAGAATTTGCTAGTCCTCAAGGTGTGGAAAAATGAGTATGACTAGAACCTGTTGTGCGTTCTTTTTTTAACTGTTTGCTTCCACTATTTTCCAAAAACAATCATTTTGTAGCAATGGTACCAGAGTAAAATAAGCAAATCCCTCTGCACTGAAATATAAAAATTAGAGTCAGTGATGTAGTTATTAAATAAAAATAAAAAAAAAAAGAAAGATTTTTCTGGCATTTCTACACCCTGTGATATCTGGAAACAGCAACAAAAAACAGAACTGTGCTATGTAAAACATGAAGGATTTTTCCATAGTTTTACATGTTGACAATACTTCTATAAACTGGTTTTAAATAAAAAAAATGATGATTCTATATCCAAAAGTTGGCAGGCTTTATCTGTTATCTGTTACAGTGTTGTAGGAAGACAGGATTATTGGAATCACCAGCTATAACCCATGGGTACGGACAGAAGTTTTAAATCCATTGGCAGAAACTATAACAATATTCACAGATTGCCAAACTACAGTAAGCAGCACAAGTTCTACATATATATGTACCTTTTGGTCAAACAACAGTACCTTATAGGGAAACAAGTAAGTTACTACAACATAATACACAAACATCATACCATAAAATGGACAGATCAATTTATAATTACATATCTATAAGTTTGCTTTAGAGATAACATTCTAGAACAGGCATTTGGGAGGAAAAAATGGTTATTTGGAGGTCTTCAGAAGAAAACTGCAGTCTGGATACAGACACTCGTTATGGCATCATGCACTGAGTATGCAGTGCCAGCATTCTACTGAATTACAGTTTAACCAAGACAAATTAGAATTACCATTGCAGTGACTTTGTTTTGCTTCCATGCCTTACATTATCCTTGCTCACTTCTAGGCAGCATCATTCCTTCTAAAACAGTTCATGGTACACCCTGACCAAAGAAATCTTAATAGGAAACTACAGTTATTTGGACAAAGATAAACGTATTTATTAGGAAATAAATGTATTTCCTGTTCGAATTGGTAGCACAAAAGTATTATGTGACAAACAATCAAAAGGTCTAAAGAAAGCCTATCTTCTCTTGACTGGGTTTTAAACACATTTTAGAAGGCATCTCAGTGAAACTACATGTCAGTGGACATTGCTCTAACTGTTCAGTTTCCCCGGCCCCAGACAAGAAAAATAAATTAGAGGGTTTTTTTTAAAAAAGACAAAGACAACTAACATTAAAGGAGCACATAGTAAGTGTCATTTAGGATTATGATCCAAAGTATCAGGCAACAGTATTTCCCAGCTGTGTCCATCCTTTGTAGCCAACATCCCAAGGATGTCACTTACCACTAGCAAACACTGAAAAGCTACAAAGAGCAAATCAGGCTGAAGTGTTACTGCCTTCTGTATTATTCCTGAGCCTGCCTGCCCATAGCCCACCATCTGCTGGCTCATGCCTCCTCCCTGATGCACCCTGCCCTTTACGTGGTAGAGACCCTCTATCCAAGAGATACTCTTTGATTTGGGTAATCAAACCTTGTTCTCAAGGAGAGGCTACAGACCAGCAAAAAGCAGCTCCTTCATAGAGAAGATGGAAAAATACACCTTAAGAGCTATACCCAAAGCAGGCTCAAGATTTGGAGGTCACAGCCACCCAAGCCTCAGTTCCTGGCCTTGATGAACCAAAGTCATTACTGTGACATGCTGGTATTTTCATTTAAAGCACTCTTATTTTTCTAACTGTCATCACTGGAAAGAACACCTAGAAACACAAATTGCATGTATTCAGTAAATGCATGCCTTCCCTAGTCCATAGATGATCATGCTTCTATGATTCTACCAAAAGAATCACCTCCACTTGGTTTATTTCCCGTATTACAAATTTTCACCACTGCCCTTCACCCCCAGTATTGACAGGCTGAAAGGAGAAGGTAAGAGATAAGGCCACTGAAAGTGTCCTTCAGCTGTGTTACTGTGATTTTGTGGGCCAGCGTTACTTAAATTATAGAACAGCTGGCAGGCAGAAACTCCACAAAGGTATGCTTCATGGCTCCCCACAGAATGTGTCACCAATCTAATAAGGACCGTAGGCCCAAACATAACACGGGACATTTTGCAGAAATAAAAAATTTCTGAAGCATATGATTACTTTACAATTTAAAGACAAATACTAATTCCTGATGGAAGTGAGATTCCTGAAGTAAAGTGCAATCCTCAAGTGTGGAAAAGAGGTCAGAACATGACAAAAGATGTAAAACCACTCAGAATCTGAGTACCAAAAGTTTTCTTCCTGTTGCCTCGCAGCAGCTGACAGTAGCAGATCCTGTTTTAGAAAAGCCTATAAAGATATCTTTCTGTGCCTCCAGTAAGCATCACCTTGCACTTTATTGTTTACAATACCTAACAGATCAAGAGGTAGAGAATAATGAAAAAAAAAAAAAAAGTTAATTTATTCTTAATGATTCTTATTTTTCAATCCAGAACTCATTCTTCAACATCTGAAAACAGTTACATGTAAGTTTTGGGGTTTGGGTTTGGTTTTCCTGTGGATTTTCGTGTTTCGTTTTTTTCCAACAAAACAGAAGTCCAGCAGTTAATGATGGAATCACTTGTTCCATTTAGGGGACAGAGCGTAGCTTGCTCCCTCCCCACTTGAGGTCAGTTGTCAGATGCTCATACACTACAGAATCTCTAAACTTTGAGTTTCAGCTCAGCAATCAACAAGCCAAGTTATATATAAGTATTGATGTTTGCCAATCTACGGTTAAAATACATCAAGCATCAATGCAATCAACTCATTAGCTGTTTTTATTGAGCACCAACATACATTACTCACTTTTCAATTCTTTGATTAAGCAACGTATTACCTGTATTCCCAGTCTATCAGCTGATTAGCTCAATAATACTGATAATCTTCTCAAGTCAAAAGAGCTGGGAGGGAAAGTAACTGAGCAGACTCACTTTACTCTTTTTGTGTATAACATCAATACGCTAAACTACTAGCAATACACTCCAGCAAATGAAAATTAGAATGTGCTAAGTTAGAGAGTAATTTTAACAAAAAAGTCACAGCAGGTCATTAAAATGTCCCTTAATTGTCTCTGGATCATACTCCATCACCCTTCCACAACCTTCCTGGCACACTGAGATTTTAAATCTCTTCTGACTGATGTAAGAACCAAGAACAGAATTGAAGTGTGATTGTCACATACAGCATCTGAATGCCAAAGGTCAAAATAGCTTACTGGTATGCTGGACCACTGTTCCAAATTTTATACCATTTCTGTCCCTTGGTTATTGCCTGACATGATTTAACAACTGTAATTCCTTATTTAACAATGTCAAAGGTTTTTGGGAAATTGACTGTATTTCACCAACGATATATTTCTTCTTGATGACAGAGTGGTTAAAATGATTTTAAACCAAGACAGCAAAATAAAGCAGTAATAAAATCAATAAAAGGTGCTTAAAACATTCCTTCTATTAGGTAATGGCATTTAAAATATCCGTAGCTTGTAATGGCACTTAGGATATGCCCAAAAATCAATGAGCTAAATTACTTATTGAACTAGTTAATTTGAACATTGAGTTTTATATGTATATTGATAAAACAGGCGACAAGAACACCGGCTGTACCATTATTTCACGGTCAGAGGTCCCCCTCTGCTGGAAGAAACCTCTAAAAACTCGAGCAGAAATTGGTTTTAAAAATAAGCCTAAAGGATGTAACGTCCAAAAATATCCACGAGAGGTCCCCAGTTCTCGTAGAGTTTGTAAATGGATGCTGCTCTTGCTGAACGCTACATGTAAAACGGTGCTAAACAGCAACGCAAACTATAGATTTCGTAGAATCACAGAGTGGTTTCGGTTGGAAGGGACCTTAAAGCTCATCCAGTTCCCAGCCCTACCACGGGCAGGGACACCTTCCACTAGAGCAGGTTGCTCCGAGCCCCTGTGTCCAACCTGGTCTTGAACACTGCCAGGGATGGGGCATCACAGCAGCTTTTGTGCATGGGCTCGGCTTGGGCTAAGATCATGTCACCCACCTCTCACCCGGCACTAAATTTATCTAGATTCAGGTTTGTAAATGCTGATGGCTGTCAGGGTTCCTAGTACTCACCCAGAATATAGCTATTTGGTCAGACATGAAAAATATGCAAAAAACATGTAACATGGGAAAAGTGTAGAAAATAAGGGATAACATAATGCTTTAAAAACAGTGAAGCTATCCTCAAGAATTCTGCTAACACTTTTCAAGTCAATAAGTCCTCATGGTAGACTCAGGAATAACAGCCTTAAATTCTATTTTCTTGCTAGAATTAAAGAGATGAGTTCTGTGTCTATAGATCCTATTCCTGAGGTACATAAACCCAGCTACAAAGAAGCACTCAGCTTAGGTCAGTCTGTTTCTCCTTTACATATAGGAAAGTTATACTTCAGAGAGGAAAAACATTTACAAATAGGAGACTGAAGGATGTTAGTTATGCCTACAAAACAAATAAGCCTAACACAGTCCCCTTGGAAGAAAGCAAACACTAAAGTCATGAAGATTTCTGCCTATTTATATAGGCTTTTACTACCATGGTACTGGGAACCCTGAAGTTACCTGAAGCTTTGGAAAAAGAGGCAAGGTGCGGAAGTTTTCCCAGCCCAGGTTGCAATGACTCCTGAAGCTGCAGACACAGAAGCTGACGCAAAGCACACAGCTAAGGACATCAGAATACCACCTGCAATATGCTATTAGCACTTCCACTTTCAGTCAAGATGAGAATACAGCACCCCTGCATTTTAAACCTGCAGTCTAGTGGTCATGATAAGACTGCAACACCATTCTAAGGCTGCACTCTCGGTTTTTAAAGGTCATGGTGATTAGATGTTCCTGACAACTAGGAAAAGGCAAATGCCACGCTCTTTTCCAGAAGAGCAGAGGAAGCCGGGGAAGGCCGGCCAGCTCCTGAAACCGCTTGTCCCTGGAAGCATTATGGGGCAAACGCTCTTTCTGGCCACTTAGGTGGGCAAGGGACCCGCCGGCTGTGTCCGGACGGCGCTACCCGCCTCCCTCGCACCCTTGTCCCCTCAGCCCCCGCTCAGAGGAAGAAGCCCCCGCAGCCGCCCCCCGTCAGGCGGGGCCAGCCACCGACCTGCCGCAGAGAACGGGGCACAGCACTCCCGTGCGCCCGCCCATCGCCTCCGGGCGGAGCCGCCCGACTTCCCCAAGATGGTGCCGGGCTGCCGACAGCAGGGGACGCACCTTCCCAAGATGGCGACGGCGCCTCAGCCTCCTGCGACCTCTCCAAGATGGCGCCCTCCTGCCGACGACGACCTCTTAAAGATGGCGGCGGTGGCTCCGCCCCGGCGCGGGGCAGGCTGGGAGCGGGGCTGCGCGGCGGGGAGCGGGCCTGCTGCGTGCGGGAGGAGCGGCGGTCGGTCGGGCCGTGCTGGCGGCGGAGCGGGGCCGGGTGGGCGCCATGCCGGAGCTGGCGGTGGACCGGGTGGTGGTGCACCCGCTGGTGCTCCTCAGCGTCGTCGATCACTTCAACAGGTAGGGCTGGCCGGGCGCGCGGCCCCGCCGCGGCGCTGAGTCACGGTCACGGGCCCGGGCCCGGGCCCGGCTGGGCCGTGAGGGAAGCGGCCCGGGGGAGGGGGCCCGGACCGAGCAGAACGCGATGGGGAGGAACCCCGAGCTGTGAGAGGTGCGGAGCACCCGGGCCCGGGCTGATCGCTCGGTGCCCAGCGCCGCCGGGCCTCGGTGGCGGCGGGAGCGCGGCCTGCGGGAGCCGCCCGAGCCCTCGGCCCGCTGCCGCCTCTGGTGTGTTCCGAGGGCGGTCCGGTCGGTGCCTTCCTTGGGCCCGATGAGGGCACGGAAACAACGTCCCGGTGGTCAGAACACGAGCAGGGGAGAAACGGGTTCTGATCCTAAAAGCCGGGGCTCCCGAGCGGAACATAAGTCATGGCCCCCTAAATACCTCGTGTGTAACTCGTGCATGGTTTAACTTAATTGCACTGATTGACAAGCAGTTTTAATGTCAAAACCTAAAAATCTCACAAGGCGAACGAGCCTGCTCTTGCGAAAGCGAGCTGTGGGTGCCACCGAGCAGTGTAAGCGCTTACTCACTTTTTTATAGCGCATTGTCCTGCGGAGAGGCTGCAGCGGTGCTGATTTCAGGTCCTGACGCCCTCGTGAGCTCCGTCGGACCTTGCAGCCCTCTTTCTGCATCGCTGGGTTGCAGGCTTTGATTCTGAGGGCACTAAGATGCCTTTTTCTGGATGTAAATTAACAATCAGTAATAAAACAGTCATAACGCCTCTTCTTCCCTTCCAACATGCGTGCTATTCAAGGGGCAAAGCAAGGGGTCCACTGTCACCTTCTTCCCTGAATTAGGCTTTTTGTTGTGGGAGCTCACAGCCTTTTCCATTTAGAATAGGAAAAGTTGGAAATCAGAAGCGAGTCGTCGGTGTGCTGCTGGGCTCATGGCAGAAAAAAATACTGGATGTGTCCAACAGTTTTGCAGGTGAGTTTGGGTGTCCTGCCCTTCCTCAAACCTACTGAATTATTTAAGAGCTGAATTGCATTTGGGTTTTTTTTAAGCCACTCTGGGAGAGCACAGACTGTTCCCTCCGTGTACAACTCAGCCTATATATTTACAAAAATGCTTACTGTTGTCAAAAATGTACCTATTCTGCCCAGTCTTGTGCTGCATCTTCCCTGCACACTGTGGAATGTTTCAGGAGCGGGTGTAAACCTCTTTTAAAATGCTGATGGATGTTTTGCTGCATTGGGCTTGCTGACCTCTGCCAAGTGATCAGACGCGTTCTACACAGAAAACGAATTTTTAAGTAGACTGCTCTTGATTGACAAGCTACAGAGTCTGCTGAGATATTCAGTTTATCACATCAAATATCTACGCACACTACTAAGTTACTTTGTATGTAGGAGAATTTCTCTCTGATGCTTGATGTTGCCCACCAAGGATAACTCCCAGAATGTTTTGCATTTCTTTTTTCAGTTGTGAACTGTTAGTAATGATGAGACGTTGCGTGAGAGAACATGACAGGTTAGCTTGGGCAGCAGTGTTGCACAACAGTTGAAACTGATTAAAATCCACTGTCCTTTAGCAGCCAAAGATATCCCAACCCTCAGTCTTTCTGTAAGCATCTTTATTCTGAAAGTTGGATTCTTAAATACTAATATTTTGTTTTAATCCCAGTACCTTTTGATGAAGATGACAAGGATGATACTGTGTGGTTCCTAGACCATGACTATCTAGAGAACATGTATGGAATGTTTAAGAAGGTGAATGGTAAGTTGAAGTCTTCTTGCCATCAGGGATACACTCCCAGTATCTTCAAAGACTATGGGGAATTGAATTCATAGTACGGTTGAGAGTTAACTGCTCACATAAGAAGCCACTCCATGCTAATTCCTTGCATGGCTTCACTTGCACTGATGGTTTTCCACTGGTTAATTTGTGCAGGTAGGTTTTTGTTCTTAACACATTAATTTATACCTCGCTAGTTTCCCCAAGACTCCTGACAGCTTTGTATCTTCAGAATAACTCAGATTTCAAAATGCCATTATTTCCGAAGAATTTCAGAGCTTTCTCTCTAAAATCCATTCTGTACAGATGTGCCCTGAAGTTAAAAAGTGTCTTTACCACTTAGTTTGAGCAGAATGTTCAGTCATAACTTCAGTTCCTGTGAATTTTCTTAGTCCTGAGACCAGCTGTCATTCTCATGATACAATTTGCATTTGTAGAATTTTTGCATCTCTAGGTGTCAGTTTCAAGCTGTTGCATCCTGCTGTCGGCAAAATTAATAAGTCATATTAAATAGTCCAGTTCAGTTACAAACCTAGGAACGATGTTAGTAAGTTAGATGCAGTTAGTAAGCTATGATAGGTACAATTAGTAAACTGTGTGTCACTACCCATGTCATTGCCTTGCTTGCTGGAATTTATTTCTGCCTACACATATCAGATTTTCACCCTTCCTTTCCCAATTTGATATCTGCATAAATCTTTCTGCTATTGTCTTACCACGCAGTTCTGATTTAGAATCCTTTCTGGTTTTGCTCAGCTAGAGAAAGAATAGTTGGTTGGTACCATACAGGCCCTAAGCTGCACAAGAACGACATCGCCATCAACGAACTGATGAAAAGATACTGTCCTAACTCTGTGAGTACAGCACTTCTTTGGTGGGGGGATCAGGGTCCTCTCTCTCCCTGAATCTGGGAATCCTTGGCCCCAACTTTGTGACTGGTGATGTAGCATGTTAAAGACCTGGTAGCTGCAAAAGTATTGAGGTACTCAGATCAGAGTCTTATCAAAGAACTATAGATGTCTTTTCTCAGAGCCTGGAGTTTACACCTCTGAGCAGCCAGCGTACCATTGCTCTGGAATGAAGAGCTGACGTGGGGATTTTTTTTTTCTGGTCTTTGAACGAAATTCAGCTTTCTGAAATGTTTGCTTTTTCCGTCAGGTGTTGGTGATTATTGATGTGAAGCCAAAGGATCTGGGGCTGCCCACAGAGGCTTATATTTCAGTTGAAGAAGTTCACGATGTGAGTATTCGGCATGTCTCTCTGCCTTTTCCTAGAACTGGGTTTCTGTTAAAAGATGGCCTCTAAGATTGCCTTATTTTCTGAAAGATGTACATACCATGGTGCACAGTTGCCTTTGACATACAGGATGTTGCACTCACTAGGGAGGGCCTGTGACTTGCAGCCAAAATCTGCTGACATTAGAGGTTAAACCCCAGTCATGATACATGCATTTGTAACTAAAGCTTTCATCCGCCAGTGCACTTGGAAGAAAAGTTGCCATTTGACCTGAGGAATTCAGCAACTCCAGTGGTCCATGTGATTTAGATGCTTCTTATCTGTTTCTGATGTGTCCATGGCCATGAATGAAGTCACAGACTGGAGTGCTTTTAAGATGTCGCTCATCAGCCTGTTTGCAGAAGGCTTGGAGTAATTGTATGCTTACTCATTTGTGCACCTGGCAGTGGTGGGTAGGTCAGTCAGGCATGAGCAACACTCATCACTTGCAGCACCATGCAGACAAACAACATACAGTAGTAAGTCGGCTGTAGCTTTTCATTTGCAGGTTTTTGATTTAAATTACATTCTGGATATATATATAAGTAAGTTTGACCCTTTTTCCTTTCTGAGGCATTCTCAGGTATTCAGCCTGTATATCTTTTAAACATCTTTCTTAATATCCAGTGTGTAAGTTATACTTTGTATGAGATTGTTCCATACTGGTACTTTATTTTTTTTTTCTGGAATTGTGTATGTTTCTAATTGGCTGAGAGCTAATACCAGGATGACAGCAGGTATTCTGAAATCTAATAAGGTTATGTCAGGAAAGTAAGAAATAGTTGTGATATTTAGAGGCACCTTCCATTCTACCCACCAGTTCATAAACCAGCAAAATACATCTATTGAAAATTACACAGAGTACAGGAAAGAAGAAGTTGCTCACAGATCTGTACTTGCAACAGTTGTTAACCCTCATTAAATCCAGAAAAATCCAATTAGAGCCTTTCCTCTGATTTCTTGTGAAGTCTGTATAACCACTGTGCTGGTTTCATTAGTACAGTTTCTCATACTCTAAAATCAGTGTTTTTTTAAAGGTATTGTGACTCACTTACATCCTTCTTCCCTGAGATGTGTACTGCAGTCCCCTGAGGTGTTGTTTTGACATAATTTGTGCCACTGCCTCTTCCTGATCCTGTAAACAGGCATCAGTTAATCTGACAGGGTGGCACTGCATGACCTGCCCCACCGGTCGCGTGGGGATGCCTGTGCTGGCTGGTTCACATGCGCCTTCATACCCGTGGCTCAGTCTGACCCTATCTCCTCCATCCTTGTGCCCCAAAGGACGGCACTCCAACCTCCAAGACGTTTGAGCACGTGACTAGTGAGATTGGAGCAGAGGAGGCAGAGGAAGTTGGTGTTGAACACTTGCTACGGTAAGCACCTTTAACATTCAGGTGTTCTTAAGAGGCTTGCTTAGGACCATGATCCAGTCTATCTGGTGTCCGAGTGCCAGCTTTCCCTTCAGTGTGCTACTTAAATGTTCACTGCATATTCACTTAGCAGTCTCGCCTGCCCTGTTTGTTCACTGCTGCTGAAAAGTGTGACTGCCCACTGACAGGATGATAAACAGTACATGTTCATGCGATCAAACCTGCAGGATATCACATCGTTTTTTGAGGGCTGAATGGGAACATTGCTCGTGGCTCTGTAGCTCTCTGGACAAGAGTGAGCAGTCACCCTCTGAAATACTGTTGTTTTTCTCACCCTCTCAACCAGTGCTACAAATATTATTCCAGAGAGAACATGCACACACCACAGGATACATCAGTGATCTATTGTAGATATACTTTGTAACATACAGCTGCTTGTGCTCCTTCTTTGACTGGGCACATTCATTTTGCTAGTGCTTCAAACAGATTTGCTTTTTAAGCTGGAAAGAGCTCTTAATGGGCCCAGCTGCTAATGAGAATGCAAAGTAATATTCTAATGCTAATTCCTTCTGTGGTGGGTGTTTCAGGGATATCAAGGACACCACCGTGGGCACACTGTCCCAGCGGATCACAAATCAGGTCCATGGCTTGAAGGGACTGAACTCCAAGCTTCTGGACATCAGGAGCTACCTAGAGAAAGTAGCCATGGGCAAACTCCCCATCAACCACCAGATCATCTACCACCTCCAGGATGTCTTTAACCTGCTACCAGACGTCAACCTGCAAGAGTTTGTCAAGGCCTTTTATCTGAAGACCAATGACCAAATGGTGGTGGTTTACCTGGCTTCTCTCATCCGTTCTGTGGTTGCCCTGCACAACCTCATTAACAACAAGATTGCCAACAGGGACGCAGAGAAGAAAGAAGGACAGGAAAAAGAAGACAGTAAAAAGGAGAGAAAAGATGAAAAGGAGAAAGACAAGGAGAAGAGTGATGTCAAGAAAGAGGAGAAAAAGGAGAAAAAGTAAAATGTGTAGGTTTTTTATTTGTAAATTAAAGATCCTGTAAACTAAATCACTTTGGTGCTGGATTCCTGTCTCTTGGAGGGTCACTGCTCTGCTTTCCTCTACTTTGGTATCTGCTTTTTGTGCTCATCATGACATGGCTGCAGAGATTTTTCTCAAGCAGGCAGCCGTGGGCAGCAGGCCTCAGCACCCAGCCAGGGAGGGCTGAGAAACGGGGGGAAATGTGTTGTTTGTTTAGTGCAGCACTCTTCCTCCCCAGCATGGGCCACCAAAGCATTGAGGCCAGCAGCTGAGCATTTCTACCAGGTGCTTTGTTAGGCTTCAGATGAAGTCTGGTCTTACCAAGTTTTCACTCCTGGGTGAAAACCACTTTGCTCATATGAATTCATTTTTGAGCTGAGCAGGAAGGGCCAAGTTCATGAAGTATCACACAGTTACTAATGAAGGGGCTGGTGCTGTTTTTTATACTAGCCAAGCAGAAGGTACAGCTTAATCTTATTTTTTTGCTGTCCTTTCTGTCTGGCCAGTGATGATAAGACTGGGGCTGGCTCTTGCTACCTGTCACTTGAAAAAGAAGTAGATAAAAGCTGAACTTAGGCCTAGTGTGATGCTCTGCCTGGAGAGATGGAGGGGAGAGAAGGTGGATTCCTGCCACCACCCTGGCCAGGGCTGGAACAGCACCCGGGGCTCCAGGTGACCACAAGTGCTGCATCAGCACAGTGATGCCAGGAGAGTGGAAAGTGCCAGCAGCAATGGAAGTATTCCTGCTGGAACGGGGCTGGCACTAAGCAAGGATCACTCACAAAGTACAGGCTATTAAAAATAACCAAAATACAGCCCCCAAATAAACCTTCCAAATTCACACAAAGAACTGACGAGGCAAGGCAGCCGCTGAAAAGCAAAATCATGGCAAAATTACACGATATAGGTTGTCCCAATGACAGGAATGGGTTTGTTTAGCTCTGCTTTAGTTCTCACTAAACACCACAAGGCTGCAGCTGCTGGCCTCATGCACCCAGTTCTGTTCCATTGGTGCTGCTCTCAGTTTCACACGGCGGCACAGGGAGGCAGGCTTGAGCTCTGGCAAGCCACCTGAATTAGATGTTGGATGAAGCCTGATCCTACTGCACAGTGTGTGCATGGCAAAAATACTTAACTACATCACTAAGGAGCTCTGAGTGCCCATCACAGCCCAGACACCCCGGCGGTTGCACCAGGCTGTCCCCCCACGTCGCACACTGACAGGAACACACACCTTGGCAGCTGCTTTATCATTTATTGCACAAGAAGTCGGTATGGCTGAGGCAGGATGGTGCAGTACAAAACTATTCAGTTACAAGTCAAAAGCTATTGCGGTGTCTTGTATCCACAGACTTCTTTTATGTACAGCTATGTACATCAACGCTCACGTGGGTCCATATCCCCTCGTGCACAGAAGGGACACGGGGAAGCAGAGGCGGCAACCAGACAAGGGACACAGGCCTGATCCTGCCCTCACCCACAGCTTCAGAAGCTCCTGCCACCAGCCAGCCGGTGACAAAGGAAATAGGGAGTCTGGGCTGAATCCATAACCAGGTAAAGGAAAGATGTGCCCCAACATGACCAGAGACCCCAAGGCTTCTGTGGAGCACCAGCTCCACGCAATAAACCACTTAACTCAGGACACATACAATTGCAAAGGGGCCACAAGTTTGCAAATCAAGCACATAACAGACATGTTGCTGGGCTCTGGCTTCGGGTGGTTTGAGTCTGGCACGGGAAGGGGCCATCGTGGCCCTTGCACAACTCTGGTTCCCCATTACCTTTGCTTGGTGAAGGATAAGACCCAAAAGTGACCCAAGAGTCAGTTCAAGAACCATTTCCCCTCCTCACCTGCATCTACTACAGGGCCATGAAAAGGCAGAAAACACCTGGGACAAAAACAGCCTATGCCAAAACCAGATCACATTTAACTGTGTCTGCAAGGGGGGATCAGAGAACCTCTGTGCACCTCGTGTTGCCTGCCAAGCACTTTTCCCCCATCCCCTCTGTGTCAATCCCCATCCCTCGTGAGCTGAGCAGAACCAGAGAGGGGCAAGAGATGTAAACACTTCTTGTCACCCCTCAGATTTCTTTGGGGAGGAAAACATAGACCAGTTTCCCCCAGGGCTGCTTTAATACAGATTGCAGCCAAGAACAAGAGCAACAGCATATGCACATCCTGTGCACCATCCTGCGGAGAGGGCTTAGCGCCAAGCTCTGCGGGCAGCATCTCACGCCCAGCAGCACTCCAGGGCCCTCCCCAATCTGGGAAAATCCCAAAAGCTCCATCATTCCTGTCCAAACCCTTCCGTCTCCTCAATTGCATAAAGCAGCTTCTCCTTCAGTTGCTCGTAGCTTTTGTAGGGAGGGAGATCCAGACGGTTAAAGCTGGAGAGACAGCAGAGGCTGTGAGCAGCGCTGCAATCCCCATCCTCCTCCCCACAGCAGGACCCTTTCCCACCTCAGCCACACGCAGCAGCCAGGAATGGCAGCTACGTCCCATGGGAACGCAGATGTACAGTACAGAGGGTGCCCGGGGCCCCATGCAGCTTCGCAAAGGCTGCTTGTGGTTGTCCCCACATTCTCCTAACAGGGCTGAGGAGAAATGACTTACCATGTATGGCTCCGAGGCAGCCACGTCTCTTTGCCAACTTTATCGATGCAGAATTTCTGGGGCCCGTTGCTGCCTGTTAATTACAAGCACAGCAAATACCATTACATGACCAGAAGCTGAAAAAGAATACCCTCCAACGCACCAGTAGCCAACTGAGCACCATCACTCCCCTTTATGATGCTAGAAAGACATCAGGGATAAGTCCATAGCAGGACTCATTGCTTGTTCTGACCCCTCTGCAGAGAGGATGTATAAGAAAGAAGAAGGGAGAAAGCTGAAATGCATACTGACAGCACAGAGAGGGAACAGCACAGCTTCCAAGCAGGATGGTTAAACAACAAGGGATAAAACATATTTCTCCATGGACCCAGAGGTCTGAGTGGGTCCATCTGAGAGTTTTAAAGGACGTTGCTCAGGAAGTCTGAGTCACTGAGGTCACTTTTGAACTGACTGTGAATGCTGGAGAAGTTCCAGGGGGCTGGAAAAACCTTATTTGCCAGCAAGAATATACAAGTGGGTTAAGTTAGCTCAACACCAATTCCAGGAAAGTAAGGGAAAGGCTGGTACAGGCCCCAAAAAGTAGCAAATTAAAGTGTGAGAGCAGAATAATGCCACACTGTGGTTTTCTGGAAAGGGGTTTTCATCACACAGAAATCAAAACTAAATCGAAAAACAAATCTCATTCAAAATGGGATTACAAACTGGACCAACAAAGTTAACTGTGGTGGCACGGTTCATGGCTAAGGAATGTGTCTGGTAACAGCACTCCACCAGATGAAATCACCACGTTCAGATGTCGCAGCCACTTCACTGCTTGCGGCTGCCTCACGCTCTGTGATGGACTCAGGGACACCCAGGTTTCACCATCAGCCCCCGCACCCGGCCACAGCCCCCTAGGAGCCCCAGGCACACGCACCGATGAGCTCCGCGAACCCCCCGACAGGCAGGCGGCACGTCCCCGTCACGAACTGCAACAGCCGGATCCTCTTCTCGTTGTCCATCTCTTTAACCACCTATGACAAGGACACGGCAGAAGAATGGGAGCCCCGCCACCCCAACACCTGCAGCTCAGCCGGGCATGGGGCACCATCCTGCACCACGGCTCCTACCATGAATACCCCATGCCCTGCAATATAGCCCAGGGTAGTCCAGCCCTCACCTCCATCCTGCATCCTCAAGGAGGAGCGCATCCCAAAGGGCCTGCAAGGAGCAGCTCTGCCCAGATTTGTACTCCTTCTGAGCCGTTTCCAACCCACTTCTTTCCTGGCCAGCACAGGGCAGCACCACCCAAACCAGCTCAGCTCTATTACATGTCATCCCCTTCTGTCACCCTGCCCAAGAACAGCAGCTATTGCTAGAAGCACGCTGACCACTAAGTGCTGCCTGCTGTCCTCAGCGGCAGCACCGGGGCCTCTGCCAGCCACAGCCAAATGCTTCTTACTGAACACGTGCTCGCGGTTGTATTTTGTTCTTCCTGACAGCCTGCGAGGCTGCCCGCCCCAACCCAGCCCTGCCTGCCCAGGCCATGGGCAAAGGATGATCCCAGGGCTCTGGAGCAGGTCACAGATGCTGCTGGCACTGGGACTCACCTGCCAGAACCACTGTATCTGTTTGCTGTTCTTGGTGTAGTGCCTGTAGATGGTGTTCTTCTGCCAGTCATTCATGTCGATCTCCTGCATGCCGCACAGCATCAGCTGGGGACAGGGGACAGTCAGCAGGGGACAGAACCAGGGCTTTCTACCCGCCCTTCAGAGCATTGACTCTTCTACTGCCAGGCTTCCTAAGGCACAGACTCCCAATACTGGACAACAGAGCTGTCTGGAGGAATTCCGTGCCTCTAACGAGATGTTTTCTTGCTAACAGACCCAACAGAGCCACCCCACAGATCCAACCACCTCCCCATCAGCAGAGCTGAGTGGCAAAGGCTGTGAACGGAGCCCATCACCACATGCCATTCCCAGGCAGCCTGCAGCTGGGAAGCACCAAAACCTCCATGTCCCCATCCCAGCAAAAGGCACCGGTTCACCTCCAGCTCCTTCTCATCGAAGTACCGCAGCCACTCCAGTGGCACCACCTCATTGAAGCCATCCAGGAAAGCCTTGGTCTGCTCCTCCACACCCCGTGTGAACCTCCAGTCCGTGAGCAGCCTGGGGAGGCAGACAGAGGTCGGCAGGCAGCCAGCACTGCTGGCCCGGCACAGGAACCATCACCATTCCTCCCACCAGCAGGGAGGGCCCAGGACCCACAGGGGTGCGTGGGGAGGGGAAGAGGGGCTCCTGCAGATCACCAGGGTTCCCCACTAGTGGGCTTCTCTGTCTGCCTCTGATGAGCAGCAGCCCCGAGCACAGACCAGCAGCCTTCAGGAGACTGAGGGGTGCAAACCACGTCCCTTGGCTGGAGCCTAGCATCAGCAG